CCAATCAGCTCTGAATGATGTGAGATGACGTATGGTGGGGATGGCAGCTCTGTGCCCCTAAGGTCTTTTTTTTTTTTGCCACACACATTACATTGAAAAATACTCTGAGCATGCGCAGTGTAGTTTTTACAGTCACCGTTCACTTTGACAGTGAGAGGGTGGGGCATGATCAGGTTTTGTCCCACATGGCTCAAAACGGCACTGTAGACACTAATTAGAAGAACACAGACTAAAACAGCAATGTACAGACGAATCAGATGATTAAACATGACCTTAAAATATATTTTATTTATTTTTTTATTTCTTTTTTTGCATCTCTTTCCATTTTTTGTAATCATTATGTGTAATACTTTCTGCTGACACTAGGTGGGGCTGTGCCCCACCTGCCCCTAATGACCAGTCGCCACTGCAAGTACCAGACCTGAGTATTTCTTCCACCTCTGTTCATCGCTCAGGTGGAAATCACAGAAAAGACTTGAGGAGGAAACAGAGCTTGGACTACCATCTAGTGGACAAACAGAAAACTACACCCACACACTTAGAGCCCAACAGCTGACACACACACACACACACACACACACACACACACACACACACACACACACACACACACACACACACACAGACACGCGCACACACACACACACACTTAAAGGGGACCTATCATGCAAAATGCACTTTTGTACGTCTTTTATACATGAATATGTGTCCCCGGTGTTCCAGGGAACTCACCAAGTGTCAGAAAACACAACCCTCTCTATTTTCCTCCATACCCAAATCTCTAAAAAAGGGGCTGCAACGGATCTGATAAAAACTGATCCAGATTTGAACACTGTCCTGACGTCAGGACGGTGGCGCTACGGCTATTGGGCCAACTCTCCACCTATCAGGGGAATGTGGGGTTGGGCCACGGCCGGCCATTGCCGCTCGAAAGCGCTGGAGACGCTGTAGTACATATGCCAGGCCTGTAAGTGGCGCTGTAGTCTGCCACAAAAGCAGCGAAGAAGACTTCCCGCCCATAGTTACCATGGTTACCCTTCTGTTTATTCTCCGCTGTGGCTTTCTTTCTCCCTCCCCGAGGCAAGCGTTTGCTCCCGCTGCTTTAATTCAATGCAATCCCTCCCCGTCGAGGCAAGCACTGTAATTCTCTCCGGTTAGTCCACCAGCAGATGACAAACACCCACCTCTCCGCCTCTTCCAAGGAACGAGGGGACCGGGCGGCAGAGTTTCAGTTTCAGTTTCTTTCGCCGGTCAAGATGTCCATTAAAGTTTAAATCTTCCGGACAAAATTTGAAAAGTGAAAATGCATGATCTGTTTGGTATTTTGAAAACAGAAACGTATAAATATACCTTATATAGGTATGGCCCTACAATATATCATTTAAATATAGCATGATAGGTCCACTTTAAATGATCTTTTTGTACATAGTTTTAAATTGGAGCAACTATCACTAAACCCAATTTCAAATGTAAAAGTAACAAGTGTCAAATGAATACGGTGGACGTAAACATAAACACCCAAGCGAAGTACAAGTACCTCAAAGTAATACTGAAGGACAGTACTTGATGGACTCCACCTCTGCTTCAAAGTGTGCTTTACCATTTGTTTATCCAGTTTTAAAAGACACTAACTATCTCTGTCCCTGAAGGAGATCCAGATTATCAATGGATTGTTTCTAAATCATCTCTGACATTAAAACCCTGTTTAACTCTGAACAGATTATTAAACCTGGAGTTATTTCAAACAGGAACTTTGTTTTCTAAAAGTTACATCATGTGTTCTTTATTCAGACTGAGGGGGTGCAGGCTGTCAGAGATCAGCTGTTCTGCTCTGAAGTCCAACATCCATCTGAGATCTGGACCTGAGTCTCAACAAGCTGACGGACAGACATCCATCGTCGGACGAAATCGGCTCGGTGTGTCAGGGCCTTTAGAGAACATGTCACATTTAGTTTTTTATAGTATAGATAGTGCCTTTCTTCTTCTTTTTTTTGTAATTGTAAGACTTTATCAATTTTATAAGAAATTTGTGAGATTTTCCAATAAAATTAACACTTTATTATTCTTTCTATTTTCTTCTTGTTAATTTGATTTCATTTCGTATTATTTCCACGTACATGTATGACTTTAATCTCGATAATTCCCCGTTCCCCTGGCTTCATATTTTCTTGTTTTTGAGGGTTATTTTCTTGTAAAAGGTGTATTTTTATTCTTGGAGAATTAGTCTTTTGTTTTGAAATCTGAGAGAATATTCAAGTTTGTTTCTTGTAGATTAGATAACATTTCTTTTTTTTCATATTCTGATATTTATTTTAAGAAGATTACCCTGTTCCCCTGGCGTCATATTTTCTTTTCTTTTTTCTACCAACAATGGCTTTAATACTTAATGTGATTTACATGATGTATTTATGTGTTTTAAGTACAACGTGAGGTCAGAAACTAAAGTGCTCTTCAGTACAAACTATGGCCTTCATCCCAGTGAAACAGATCAATAATCAGTAATCAGTGATCCATCAGAAGCTGTAAACTTGCATATAATCGTCTATAAATGAAGGCGTCACTGCAGCGGCAGAGGAACCAGCACGTCCATGTAGCTGATGGGGAAGAGTCCTGATTGGCAATCCCATATAAATCCGTTCCGGAAATTTCCAACCACCCGATCAGCTGGGGACGATGCGTGACTTCACATGTAAACAGGAAGCCCGACCTGATGCATCGCTGGATGAGTAGGGATCGTAACAGTCAGATACAGATCAGTGCACAATTAAAAAAAAGCCAGGAACTTCCATTTAGGAGGAGAAAAAGAATTGGACCCATCAAGATCAACGATGTGTAGTCCGGTGAGTTGAACAGGCTCCAATAGTCCAAGTAGCCGGTAAATCCCACTACTATATTTACGATTAGGATTTGAGATGGAGCAGTCGAAAAATGTAAAGTGTCCGCCAGACAACTTGGATGATATCACTCAATCAGACAAGTCCTACAGACATACGGACACAGAACGAGACGTGTCATAAAGATACATTTCAGGAACACAAATCTGAACATTGGATAAAGCCAGGTTCAAAAGTCTTGTTTAATTTGAGTCATATTAGAATCTAAAGTTTTTATAGAAGGGATTTTGGATATCTCTCTTTATCACTCCATAAATCAGAAAAGGACGTCCGGCACTAAACTGTTTTAATGTAGAGATCACTACAGTATCTTCTTGATATTTTCTATTCTATATATTTCTATCATGCCTTCTACTTTCCCCCTAGTGTGTGTGTAGGCTACTCTTAATATTTAAATGTTAATAAATAAAACTTATTCAACAACTAAATTCAATAACATGCTTTAACCACTAGGCGGTGCGGGTTTAAAAAAACAGTGGTCTAGTTAAAACATAATATTATGTGATTGTAGTTATTACATGTACAGCACTTTGGCCCGACCAAAAATCGCTTTTAAATGTGCTTTATAAATAAAACCTGATTTGATAATATCAAACATAATATTACTTTTAACTTTATTGTGAAATTAAAACAGATCGATAAAGAAAAATAGTTTCAGTCTGGATTTGAAGCTTATGCATTGTACCATGAACCTGAGTTTCTGAAGATGTTACAAATAACACACAGAAACAATGCCATAATAACTTTGTATTATTAGTGTAGGACACTTCTGTATGTATAATATATATACATCAGCTATATTTCACATATTGTAGTTCTATAGAATTACAATGTCATGTTATATATGATAATGTAATATATCAGATATGCAAGTGCTTCAGAATATTGATAGGAATATAACTGGAAGGTTTGGTGTATGTACGTGATGCTGAAGGGAACATGTCTCACTCAGAAGAGAAACAACTCTTTGAGAAAACGACCTTTAAAGATTTCTGTGAGGCGCCTCGACGCACGCTACCTAAACCCTGCTGTTCTCTGGACGATAGCTTGAGCCTCGACGCACGCTACCTAAACCCTCCTGTTCTCTGGACGATAGCTTGAGCCTCGACGCACGCTACCTAAACCCTCCTGTTCTCTGGACGATAGCTTGAGCCTCGACGCACGCTACCTAAACCCTCCTGTTCTCTGGACGATAGCTTGCGCCTCGACGCACGCTACCTAAACCCTGCTGTTCTCTGGACGATAGCTTGCTCCTCGACGCACGCTACCTAAACCCTCCTGTTCTCTGGACGATAGCTTGAGCCTCGACACACGCTACCTAAACCCTCCTGTTCTCTGGACGATAGCTTGAGCCTCGACACACGCTACCTAAACCCTCCTGTTCTCTGGACGATAGCTTGCGCCTCAACGCACGCTACCTAAACCCTCCTGTTCTCTGGACGATAGCTTGCGCCTCGACGCACGCTACCTAAACCCTGCTGTTCTCTGGACGATAGCTTGCTCCTCGACGCACGCTACCTAAACCCTGCTGTTCTCTGGACGATAGCTTGAGCCTCGACACACGCTACCTAAACCCTCCTGTTCTCTGGACGATAGCTTGAGCCTCGACGCACGCTACCTAAACCCTCCTGTTCTCTGGACGATAGCTTGAGCCTCGACGCACGCTACCTAAACCCTCCTGTTCTCTGGACGATAGCTTGAGCCTCGACGCACGCTACCTAAACCCTCCTGTTCTCTGGACGGTAGCTTGAGCCTCGACACACGCTACCTAAACCCTGCTGTTCTCTGGACGATAGCTTGCGCCTCGACACACGCTACCTAAACCCTGCTGTTCTCTGGACGATAGCTTGAGCCTCGACACACGCTACCTAAACCCTCCTGTTCTCTGGACGATAGCTTGCGCCTCGACGCACTCCATGCTCATTTGTTTTTTGTCTAACCTTGCTTCGTGCAAGTGACAATTGTTGTCGTCTTCTCTAAAATGTACACACGAAGGGATTTGGTCGAGGAATGAGGAGTCGAGCATTTGGTCGAGGAATGAGGAGTCGAGCATTTGGTCGAGGAATGAGGAGTCGAGCATTTGGTCGAGGAATGAGGAGTCGAGCAGAGGTTTTTGTCCCAGAGGGTTTTTATTATTAAGATACTTTACAGACGTCAGACTCCTCGGGGCTGCTTGAAGTTCATGCCGACGGGCGGCTGCGTCACCTGCAGGTTGGACAGACCGCCGAAGTCCTGCAGCACACAAAGACACACAGACACATCAACTCACAGCCGAATGAATATATCAGACTCTCTGGAAGGAAATGATATTAAACACCAGACTTCATAATGAACACAGATTGAAATGTTTGGGAGCGCCAGGGTCTGATAGGAACGGAGGATCCTTCAGACACGGGAAAGGCTTCCAGATTCATCTTCCTGTACTATCAATGACCTGGCGACGAGGACGCCATGATCACTTTCGATACAGGACACACACACACACACACACTGATCCAAACCCAACACACACCCCGTCTCAGAGTCACAAGAGGACTGGGTTTTAGAATAAATCTAGTCAAATAGAAGTGAAATGTGGAATATAAGAGAATTTAAACACATGCTATATGAATAAAACATGGGGAGAGACACATTAAAGAACGTGACAATATCACAAAGGAATACATAATATTAAATAAGGCAAATGTAACAAATAAATCAGAAAAAGAGGAAATATTAATAAATAAATTAGGTAAAAAGATATAAATAATAAAACAATTAAATAATGTTTTAAATACATGGAATGAGGAGGAGTGCCTTCTCGACAGGAAATAATGTTTATTGAGAATTTGCAGGAACTTCTGGGTATTTTAACATAATCAAAAAACCTGTTTGAGTACAAGTACACACACACACACACACACACACACAGTATCTGAGCATAAGGTGGACTCACCAGCAGCTTGAGCATCTCCTTGGTGTCGGGATCAACCTCGATCAGCTCCTGATCCAGAGCGGACACCTGCAAGGTACAAGACCAGGTTATCATCATCATCATCATCATCATCATCATGTTCCAGGACCACAAACCCTTTCACATCTCCTCTGTCCTATTCTCCCTCTGTTCCTGAACGCACCATTTCACTAACCCCAGCACCAGAAGCCAAGTTGGAATAAACTCTCATCTCTAACCGTGTTTATAAGTTAAAGTACAACCTCTCCATCATGGCTCCAGCTGCTCAGATTCAGTGTTTTGTCCAAATTAAATAAATGTAGGACTTCTAGACGGAAAAACCATCATGTCACCATCACCTGAACATGTCTCAGATGTCTGTTGTCCGAGGACAGAACATTCTTGTAAATATATTTCTAAATGTTTGGGAGCGCCAGGGTCTGATAGGAACGGAGGATCCTTCAGACACAGGGAAAGGCTTCCAGATTCATCTTCCTGTACTATCAATGACCTGGCGACGAGGACGCCATGATCACTTTCGATACAGGACACACACACCAGCTGTGAGTGTATTTGTTGTTTTGTTGAGTTTTCAATAAATTAGAAATCATCAGTCGAGCGTACGACCATCTTTCGGAGGGATATGCTACAGATTATATAATAAAACATCGATACTTGGCGTCCGTGTATCACGATACTATATCACGCTAATATGCTGTATTGATTATTCCCCCCACCCCTAAAAAGCACCAATGTGTATCAAACGTCTGATGAATCCACATTGTTGGGAGTGAGACGTCGCCAACCCGCCTCGATGCTTCCTGTTTAAATCAAACAGATGTTCTGAGTTCCTGAGTGTATTGAAGCAGCTCGTGGTGCGTTCACTGACCTCTGGAACGTAGTTATCTCTCCTCTCCCGCTCCTCCTCCTGCAGTTTGATGGAGATGCCTCTGACGGGACCCCTCTGGATCCGCTTCATCAGATGTGTCACATACCTGACGCAGAAAACAACGTGTTCAAATGCATTCAGATCAAACATCGCTAACAGCAGGTCTGGGTCTTTCTACAGAGCGTGTGACGCACAGATAATACTATATATAGAGCTGAGGAGAGAGGAGACAGGAGAGAGGAGAGAGAGGAGATGAGAGAGGAGATGAGAGAGGAGAGGAGAGAGGAGAGGAGGAGAGGAGAGAGGAGAGGAGAGAGGAGAGATGAGGAGAGGAGCGAGAAGGATATAGGAGAAGGAGCTTAGGAGGAATAGGAGAGGAGATAGGAGAGGAGGATAGGACGAGGAGATAGGATAGGAGATAGAGATAGGAGATGAGAGAGGAGATAGGAGAGGAGAGAGGAGAGGAGAGAGGAGAGAGGAGAGAGAGAGAGGAGAGAGGAGAGAGGAGAGAGGAGATAGGAGAGGAGATAGGAGAGGAGATAGGAGAGGAGATAGGAGAGGAGATAGGAGAGGAGATAGGAGAGGAGATAGGAGAGGAGATAGGAGAGGAGATAGGAGAGGAGATAGGAGAGGAGATAGGAGAGGAGATAGGAGAGGAGATAGGAGAGGAGAGAGGAGAGAGGAGATAGGAGAGGAGATAGGAGAGGAGATAGGAGAGGAGATAGGAGAGGAGATAGGAGAGGAGATAGGAGAGGAGATAGGAGAGGAGATAGGAGAGGAGATAGGAGAGGAGAGGAGAGGAGATAGGAGAGGAGAGGAGATAGGAGAGGAGAGGAGATAGGAGAGGAGAGGAGATAGGAGAGGAGAGGAGATAGGAGAGGAGAGGAGATAGGAGAGGAGTAGGAGAGGAGAGAGAGGAGATAGAGAGGAGAAGGAGAGGAGATAGGAGAGGAGAGGAGATAGGAGAGGAGAGGAGATAGGAGAGGAGAGGAGATGAGAGATAGGAGAGGAGATAGGAGAGGATAGGAGAGGAGATAGGAGAGGAGATAGGAGAGGAGATAGGAGAGGAGATAGGAGAGGAGATAGGAGAGGAGATAGGAGAGGAGATAGGAGAGGAGATAGGAGAGGAGATAGGAGAGGAGATAGGAGAGGAGATAGGAGAGGAGATAGGAGAGGAGATAGGAGAGGAGATAGGAGAGGAGATAGGAGAGGAGATAGGAGAGGACTGATAGGAGAGGAGATAGGAGAGGAGATAGGAGAGGAGATAGGAGAGGAGATAGGAGAGGAGATAGGAGAGGAGATAGGAGAGGAGATAGGAGAGGAGATAGGAGAGGAGATAGGAGAGGAGATAGGAGAGGAGATAGGAGAGGAGATAGGAGAGGAGATAGGAGAAAAAACATTTTAACACCAGACTTCATAATGAACACAGATTTCTAAATGTTTGGGAGCGCCAGGGTCTGATAGGAACGGAGGATCCTTCAGACACGGGAAAGGCTTCCAGATTCATCTTCCTGTACTATCAATGACCTGACGACGAGGACGCCATGATCACTTTCGATACAGGGGGACATCTTGTTGTCTTTCTAACCCAGTTGAGATTTAACCACGGCCTCTTCAGCATTACGAGACACATGAAGAATTAAGGCTGTGCGATTATGGCAATAATCATAATCACGATTATTTTGGTCAATAATTGATATCACGATTATTAAATACGATTATTCATTGACTTTGAAAACATCCATTTATTGAACTTTAAAATATAATAATTTGAACATATATCTTTTTAAATGTTGATTACCCTGAACGTATAATTCAACTGAAAAACCAATACAAAAATAAATTATACATTTTAAATGAATAATATAAAAATAATAAATACCAATAAACAAGATCAACAAATATTTTGGAGCGCACTTCCACAAGCTACTACATATGATATGATAAATAAAAATAAATTAGATCAAATATGTTGCAGTGCACTGTCACAACCTCGCAAAGCAAAATAATTGTTTTTTTCGATTATGTTGTTTTCGTAATTGTGGCAACCCAAAATCGTAATTGCGATTAAAATACGATTAATTGCACAGCCCTATGAAGAATCATACTCTTCTTCATCAATATATCACAGGTCTCAGATATATCCAGAGCCTGTCTCTGATTGGCTGAAACACCAAACAGATCATTGCAGCATTACCCATAATCCCCTCTGTTTCAGCCCTGTTTCCAAAGTGCTGATTCTCTGTCTGTTACTTCAGATGAAAATAAGGAGCCCCTCCCCACGCCCCTCTGAGAGAGATGAAGAAGAGGGGACACATGTTGATGTAGAAGAGACATGAAGAAGAGGGGACACATGTTGATGAAGAGACATGAAGAAGAGGGGACACATGTTGATGAAGAAGAAGAGACATGAAGAAGAGGGGACACATGTTGATGAAGAAGAAGAGACATGAAGAAGAGGGGACACATGTTGATGAAGAGACATGAAGAAGAGGGGACACATGTTGATGAAGAGACATGAAGAAGAGGGGACACATGTTGCTGAAGAAGAGACATGAAGAAGAGGGGACACATGTTGATGTAGAAGAGACATGAAGAAGAGGGGACACATGTTGATGTAGAAGAGACATGAAGAAGAGGGGACACATGTTGATGTAGAAGAGACATGAAGAAGAGGGGACACATGTTGATGTAGAAGAGACATGAAGAAGAGGGGACACATGTTGATGAAGAAGAGACATGAAAGAAGAGGGGACACATGTTGATGTAGAGAGACATGAAGAAGAGGGGACACATGTTGATGTAGAAGAGACATGAAGAAGAGGGGACACAATGTTGATGAAGAAGAGACATGAAGAAGAGGGGACACATGTTGATGTAGAAGAGACATAGAGACATGAAGAAGAGGGGACCACATGTTGATGTAGAAGAGACATGAAGAAGAGGGGGACACATGTTGATGAAGAAGAGACATGAAGAAGAGGGGACACATGTTGATGTAGAAGAGACATGAAGAAGAGGGGGACACATGTTGATGTAGAAGAGACATGAAGAAGAGGGGACACATGTTGATGTAGAAGAGACATGAAGAAGAGGGGACACATGTTGATGAAGAAGAGACATGAAGAAGAGGAGACACATGTTGATGTAGAAGAGACATGAAGAAGAGGGGACACATGTTGATGAAGAAGAGACATGAAGAAGAGGGGACACATGTTGATGTAGAAGAGACATGAAGAAGAGGGGACACATGTTGATGTAGAAGAGACATGAAGAAGAGGGGACACATGTTGATGTAGAAGAGACATGAAGAAGAGGGGACACATGTTGATGAAGAAGAGACATGAAGAAGAGGGGACACATGTCAGAGACTCCGATGGAAACTCACCCGGCGATCTTGTTGCGGAGCTTCTTGCTGGGGATGATGGCGATCTCCTCACACACCCTCTTGTTGGTGTGGAAGTCGCTGCCAAGGCGGGTATAGTATTTCTCGATGATGACCCTGGCGGCCTTTTTCACCGTCTTGGTCCTGACGCGTCCCTGAAAGCAGGAAACAAAACAATCTTTCTGTCAATATTCTGTCCAAAAACACTTTGAACCGTCGCGTTCAGACCACGAGGAGCGTCACCTAAAACAGAGTCTGTCACGCCACTATCATGTCAGATACTCCCATGTTTACTACGTCTTCATATCGTAAAAAATAACACTTACCTGAGCATTGAAAACACACCAGAATATAATTCTCACAAACGGCGAAGGACACCTGTGTGTGGTTTTGAATCAGAATACCTTTATTAGTCCCACTGAGGGGAAATGTACATTAAAAGTAATCTGGTTCAAAACCACACATGGATGTCCTTCACTAGAGTTCATGTTTGTGAGAATTAAAACTTGAACGTAAGACACGTTACTTACATGTACATGAACACCAAACACTGTCTTTACGTCTCAAAAAGTCACTTTGTTTAATGTTTTATTCTAAATGTTTGGGAGCGCCAGGGTCTGATAGGAACGGAGGATCCTTCAGACACGGGAAAGGCTTCCAGATTCATCTTCCTGTACTATCAATGACCTGGCGACGAGGACGCCATGATCACTTTCGATACAGGGTTTAAAAACACATTTTAAACTTGGTCTTTAACACAAAGAAAGAGCCATTCATATCTTATTGATAACCAGTTTTCAGGGTGGCTACATTTCTAAATGTGCCCTCTCTATGTTAGACTCATTGCAGCTGCTGCACCACATATCCATCCATTAACCTAGATGTAGATATTAGTAGCATTGACAGGTTTGGTTTAATATATTTAGTGTCAATTCCAGATTTTTAAGACGACATCCGAGGTAATGAATACACTCATTGCACTTAAACTATATAATCAGCTATCTATATCTGGTCAGGTTCAATCTAAGGATACTATTTTAATGTTTTGCATCCACTTCAATGCATGAACATCTGATCTTAACTATTTAAATGTGATGTTTTATACCCTAGTTGAGCATTTAATGGCAGCTGGATGTCTTCATAGTTACACCACCAGCAGCAGATTAAATATACAACATTAACACTGAAAGATATCACCAGTTTCACACACCTGTCCCGCAGGTAACAGGGTGTTTAACCGGGTGTGAGTCAGCTCGAGAGGAAGCATTGTGAGCACGGAGCTAGCTCTTGGTTAGCCTCCGATGCTAACTGACGGACATGTACATTTCGTAATATGTTAACCACTTTAGAAAGCCCATTATCAGACATATTGAACAGGAGAGTTATTAACCAATTCCCGGTGATAGAAGACTTTGAACAATGAGGTTAAATATTGATTTAAATAATGAATGTAAACGCGGGTGTTTCAGCTGCAGTTTCCCCGACTCAACAATCACTAATATCATCTCCGTTAGAGTCATCGCATTTAAATAGTGCAGCTATCGGGTACATCAAACACTCCGGTGTCCGTTCATTATAATATTTAAGAACATAAAGCGATTCAAAGCCAGGATTCATTCGGATTAAAGAGGTAGAAGTTTAAAATTCACCCACCATGTTGGATCGGCCTGGTAGAAGAGGACGAGAAGACTTCCGGCGGAAGTTTTAAATCCACAGGCGGAAGAATAAGGGAAACGAGCGGCAGCAGCTGCGCCCCCTCCGGCCGGAGGAGGGAACTACAACAACACAAACGACTTCTGATACTACTACTACTACTACTACTACTACTACTACTACTACTAATACACAAACTAACACTACTACTACTACTATTAATAATATATTACTACTACTACTGCTACTACTACTACCACTGTCCGGTGCCTTGCTCCAGGGCACCACGGCAGGGCAGGAGGAGAACTGGGACCTCAAGGTTCAAGGTTCTTTATTGTCAATCTGACATAGCTACAGAGTAATTATGTAGTTGAAAATCTTATGTCACAGGCTTCTCCAACAATGCAACATAACATAATAACAATAAGAGCAAGAGCAATACAAAAAGAATAATAGTTATAAAATAAAATAAAGTTATGATGTGGAATAGTGCAGTATGAGTCTATATACAAGTTATTGGAATGATATATATATATATTAGGTATTAGATACATACTACTGAGTAGCAGATGAATGTTTGAAGTTGTTTCAACAGTTCAATTTGTTAACAGTCTCACTGCCCGCGGGAAGAAACTGTCTCCGAATCTTCTTGTCCTTGCCAGGATGCTGCGGTAACGTCTGCCAGACGGCAACAGAAAGAACAGTTTGTGGCTGGGGTGATGGGGGTCTTTGAAAATCCGTAGTGATTTCTTCCTGAGCCGCTGGGAGTAAAGGTCCTCCATGGATGGCAGCTCCGTCCTGGTGATGTGCTGTGCAGTTTTCACCACCCTCTGTAAAGCCTTATGATCGAGGTCGGTGCAGCTGCCGTACCAGGCCGTCATGCTGCCAGTGAGGATACTCTCTATCGTGCACCTGTAGAAGTTGCAGAGTATCCTGGAATCCATTTTGAACCTCCTCAACCTGCGGAGGAAGAAGTCAAGCTTTCTTGGTGATGGTGGTGGTGTGAAGAGACCATGTCAGGTCCTCTCCACGTAGCAGTCCACAAAGAAGGAGGGTTGTTGTTCCTACTAGACCAGCGGTTCCCAACCTTTTTCAACTCAGGGCCCACTTAAGAATCAAAAATGTTTTTGCGGCCCACATTCAACCATAAACAATACGGAGGCTAAATAAAGTTCTGATTGGTTAATTCTGAACATGTGACACGTTGTAAATCCAGTAGAACAGACCGCTGTCAAGGACTGTAATGACCGTTGCTAAGGACTGTAATGACCGTTGCTAAGGACTGTAATGACCGTTGCTAAGGACTGTAATGGCCGTTGCTAACGAGGATCAAGAAAGAGAAAGGAAAAGAGGTTCAAATAAAAATCTTAATAATGAAAATGTTTCCACGCAAATCATCATGTTTTGCAAATTATTTTGGCGGCAAATATTTAATTTACATTTACACCCTTTAATATTTTTATTTGGGCTTTTAGATGAAGACCGCACACAGTTAATAAATGCAACTATTCTGCTAAAATATATATTTTTAAAAGTCAATCAAGGAGTAATCTTAATTTAAGGTGTTTGAAGATTAAAAATGCAATTTCTCTTGGAAAAAATCTTTATTTCTTCTGTTTTTGTTTAGTTTTTGTCTGAGATGGGAATGTCATCTCCTATATGTTATTGTTGTGTCCATGTTTGTGTCTTTAGCCTGTACAAAATATAAAAATATGCAATACCTTCGCAGACCACAGGTTGGGAACCGCTGCACTAAACGAACAAGTCAAAACATGTCAGAGTTTGAGACGATCAGACAAAAAATCAGAAACTCAGACCTGAAATGATTTATTATTCAGAGAAATTGCAGATTAATTGCAGAAAAACCTTCTCTGTGTTTTCTTTCAGACAGCAAACATGTGGTGTGTGCTCCGAGAAGAGAAGATTACATTCAGTGGAAACCAGTCAACGCTCCTTAAAGAAAATAAAGTAACAGAGCGACTTCATGGTTTTCGGTCGAGGCTGAAAATACTTTTGAAAAAACAAAAGGAACTCATCAACTATTTCAAAGTAGCATTAAACAAAACTGTCCATGTTTTAATTGACTGTCTTTGTGTTGAATACAAAGCTAACATTAATGCCCTGAATGAGATAAATATAACCTATTTAAACTGATTTATGTGCCCGCTGGTGTTTAAAATCTAAACATATGAATCATACACAATAAACAAACACACACACATCATGTCAAGTGACAATGACATCATAACAGTGCCAACAAACCTGTGCATTTACTAATCTATTATTATATTGTTAGCTGCTTTTTGACTAACTAAATTCTTATCTATGTGTAACGTATATTTCTGCACTGTGGTATTACGACGTCTTCTAGCACTAATTAACTCCTTAATTGTCTTTTGGACGTTTTGTGCATTAATATATACGCTTATATTCTGAGTGTCTCTGTAAACACTTTAAGAGCGATTCAGTCCTTCACTTAAACTAAGATAAACCTGACGTGTAATTTTATTTGTATGCACAAAACTGTATTTGATATAAAAAGGTGCCGCTTGTTTGTACTTTTTTCAGGCGATTTGTAATCTATTCTAGAGAAATTAGGTTTTTTATAGATTTCAAGAAGAATGTTTTTTGAACATTTAAACACGATGGAAGTCGATTTAGATGTTTTAGGAGTTAGATAAAGTGTGGCCCTCTGACAGAAACTGCCCTGAGGAATGGCACAGCTAACCTTGACGCCATGACTTTTCTTTTGGTAAATATTATAGGTTCATATTGATCTTTGAGACATTTAGTTTTTTCCCCATGGTCACCAAGACTTGAAATAACTATGTTCTGATGAAGAGACTTGGAGACTGATTTTCACTGTGGGATTTCAATACATTTCTGAGTGATAACATTTAGTTTTTTCTTTTGTACTTATGGTCTCATAGCTCTGTGTACATCCATATGCCTACATATGCTGATAGCTTAGCTTCTTGTGAAACAGAACATGTATATAACTTGATTGTGCAGCACAGGGTTCATGTTTTAAAAGCATCTTTACACAAAAAAAACCCGGCGAGCGGGGAAGAGTCCTGATTGACGTGGGTATGGACCAGGCGTCAATTAAACGCCTGCAGCTAGTGCAGAACGCAGCTGCACGTCTTCTCACTGGCCATAAAAAGCGTGACCACATCACCCCTATTCTGGCCTCACTACACTGGCTTCCAGTTCGGTTCAGAATTGATTTTAAAATCCTTTTATTTGTTTTTAAAGCACTAAATGGGCTGGCTCCGGCCTATATAGCTGAACTCCTCCAGCGCTACACCCCAGCCAGAGCTTTAGGCCCCGGCTCCACGAGGACGAAAACGGGTTGAATCCGCATATTTCTCATGCGTATAGCCCTCTAAGCTCCACGAGGCCGTAAGGGAAACGTAGAAACAGACCCCGCAAACGACAACGGGTCCAAAGGTGGATAGATCTGGGAACGGAGCGCTCTGGGGGGTCCAACGGGGCCGTGGAGTCGCCTATACGGTCATTCGTTTTCATAGCCCCGCCTCTCCCCCGCAGGGTTGCTATCGTGCTCCAGTCGCTACTGACCATGCTACAGTTCTTTGTGCAACATCTACAGGAGCTCCTCCTTGAATTCAGATTATTTATCTTTATCTCGATATGGACATAAACGCGAGTGAAGTCTAATCTGACAGGACGGAGACACGCAGCTCCTCCCGCTGTGATGCAGGGAGCAAAACACACACTTCAAGTCAGATCATCACCCTTAGCTATTTTAATTACCTCTCAAACTAAACTAGTTATAAATATGTTCATTTTTACTGTCGGGTCACTCATTACAGGATCAGCTGCTGCATGAGACAGACGCTGACACTGTGAGAAGAGAGGAAAAAGAGACAGGCTCTGTGTATTTGATGATTATATATCATTATATAGAGTCGTTATTCATTTGTTTTAAAGCTCAATAAATAACAATGAAGACCTTTGACCGGCACTTTTATAATTTTGTCCGGAAGATTTAAACTTTAACACACGCTGACCGGCGAAAAACTCTGCCCGGTTCTGTCGGCCCCCACCGCGGAGAATACACAGAAGTGCAGCCATGACAACCATTCTTCTTCGCTGCTTTTGTGGAGGAAGTTGCTGCTTTTGTGGAGGAAGTTACAGCGCCACGTACAGGTTCGGCATATGTACTGCAGCTTTTCCAGCGTTTGGATGTAAACGGAGCCGTCTCGTGGAGCTTGACACAATCCGGTGTATATTGCGTGGGGACGGAAGGTTTTTTGCGGTTGCATTTGCGTTACTCCGATGCGTTTTGCCGTATTTGTCCTCGTGGAGCCGGGGCCTTAAGGTCTGCTGACCAGCTGCTGCTGATAGTGCCCAAGACCAGGCTCAAAACCCGAGGGCACCGAGCCTTCGCAGCAGCTGGCCCTAGGCTCTGGAACACTCTGCCCCTCCATGTGAGGTCGGCCCAGACCCTAGGGGTTTTTAAATCAACACTAAAAACTCACTTCTTCTCCCTGGCCTTCTAGTTAGAGCGGAGCACGACTCCTGACATTTCCCTGTGTGGTTTTTTATTTTTGCTTTTGGAATTTATTGTCTTCTGTTTGCCATTGTAAAGTGTTTTTATTGCATGTACAGCACTTTGGCTCGACCAAAAACCGTTTTAAAAATGTGCTATATAAATAAAACTTGATTTGATTTGGCTGCCGAGCGTTCCCTCGTACAAGTTGGCGTCCACCTGATTGGTCAGCAGGATGACCTCTAATTCAGGCCGTTTTAAATGTTCCTTTAGCCAGAGACTTATGAAGACAAATAATACCCCTGGTTTACTGTGTGTCAGACGGACAATATCTTATTTAAACGCAGATATCATTCAACTGTGTGCAGAAATACAAATGTGCATTAAAGGGCCCATGTCATGGCCATTTCCACTGATCATAATTACATTGTTGAGGTATACTAAAATAGATTTATACTGTGCAATTTTCCAAACTCACATTGGTTTCGCATACAGCATCTCTGTCAAGCATGTGTATTCAGCAGTATTCACTTTCTCCACTAAACGACTCGTTGGAGCTCTTGCCCCCCCCCTCCCTGTGAGCCTAGTGTGCTCCGATTGGTCAGCTCGGCCACTCGTTCTGATTAGTCAACCACCAGAGAGGCTGCGCCCATGTCAGTGCTTTTCCCGGCTGCTCTCAGCGTAACATCAGTCTTATCATGGCGTCGGTACAGCGGTATATTTTATATACATATATATTTTTAACTGTTGTTATAGAAGAGTGTGACGGCCCCAGGGCCTTTGTCTTACGATGGGGTGGAGCTGAAGAGGGTAATCAGCGCGATCACGGACACCTCCGGACACAGTCTCTCTCCAAAGCGGCTGCAGGAAGACTAACTCTGCGATCCTCTCAACCACCTATCTTTGCATTTACCACAATAAATGTGCCGTGGTTTTGTAAACTCGTGTATGTCTCCTTGTCTTTCCGTTGTGGCCTACGAGCTACTCTCATAACAAAGAGTAAGTTATTTTTACCCGTTATAAACTACTACTGTTTGATGAGAAATCAAATCATGGTTTGCTATATATGAATTCAGGGAAGAAAGGATAGGCCTACTAAGTATTTCCATTAAACTTTATTTTTAGAAATGTACAAAATGAACATAAATATACATATACACACGGTATATCATCCATTCCTCCTCCTCTTGCCTGCGCACAGCCGGTGCGGTGCGGTGCCTTTTAGCACGAGGCCTCAGTAGTAGTAGAATCCCTTCCCCGTCATGGATTGTCCGCCAGGATCTGGCTGGACGAAATCAAATGCAAATCACAAAATATTAGAGAAACTTAGTTGTTTTAGATTAGTTAGTAGTAGTTGTGTAATGAACAGCTTGCCTGCTAATATGCTAACCTAGCTTTGTTTACCTTGGTAGCTAACACGATATGAACGTTAGCTTGGAGGAAAGGCAACTATAATGCAGTGTAATAAAACTACTATGAACAAAAGCTAGTGGTTCATATTAGGCTAGCAATAACGTGTTTATAATTGCAATCGTATACGGGTATTCTGCTACCATACAATGTAACTTGCATGAATACATTGTTTTGCGCTAGCATACAGCTAGCCTCGTTAGCTACATGCAGTATATGTACGGTCACAATGTACGGTAAATCACAGTACAGTATACTGTATGAGTATTCCGTGTGTGTGACTGCAGACATTCTCCTGCCATGACAAACATGTAAGGCCATCTGCTGACATTGTAGTTGATATATTTAAACGCTAGCAACGTAGCATCACAAAAATGTTTTTCTGACCGAAACTAGCTCTAGCTCCGTGTGTTAGATCGCTACGCCAGCTATAATGTAATTACGTTTCGCGACTGACCGGCAAATCACCCGGAGTATACTGTCAATAGGTATTTTGTGTGTGAATGCAGACATTCTCCTGCTATGAGATACATGTATGCAAGGCCATCTGCTGATATTAGAGTTGATATATGGAAACTCTAGCAACTTAGTTAGCACTGTGTCAATGGCTTAGCAGTCCAACACAGTTTACACATTTAAACAGTCTTGTTTGATAAATACACAAATAACAATGCAAACTTACAGGTTGTATACCCAGATCTTCCCCTGCTCCAAACGGTCCAAACAAGCTGTGCATATCCGGCCTCAAACTGGGCAATGTTTTGGAAGCTTTCGTCTGTGAAATGCCGGTTCTTCGAACCTCTGGAGGAGGAACACGCCGCTGCTGGTGTGGCCATAGCTCTTCGGGATTGGTCCATTTCGTTCCGGGTACCGCATGACATCAGGCGGTACCGGAACTAAATGGAAGACTCAAATGGGCAGTGACGTATCTCCAACGAGGCGTTTTGGGGAGGTATTTTCTGTGTTAGAGTTTTACTCGCTACAGGGTGTACTTTGAGGGTTTTGACTCTGCACACCGTTTACATGCATAAAAACCTTCATAACACACAAGGGGACGGGTAATAACCGGAAAAGCATGACATGGGAGCTTTAACATGAAGGTAGAAGTCTTAAAGGGAAACACACACTTTAAATCTGATAATTACTAACAGAGCCTTTCTTTAGTGGTCAGATGGCGTATTACGGCTATAATGTCCTTTAAAGAATAGGAATTTAAACATAGATACAGGAAAGGGGGGGGGGTAATATATAGAAAAACTAAATAATCCTGCGGTTAAAAATATACATTTACGAGAAAAAAAGGATCTAAAATGATGATGTCATACATTTAAAAAAGATATATTAAGAAATGTAAATAAAATAAATTCACAAACTCAAAGAATTCCCTTTCAGGTTTAGTCACATTTCCTCTCATAAATACCTCAGAGAATATTCACGTTTCTTTGTTGTATATTTATGAGATTTTTCTTATAAAATTACAACTTTTTAGATTTTCTTGGGAATGTGATAATTTATTCTTTGAGAAATTGAGATTTTTTTCTCCCAAAAAGTACTTTTTTTTGTTTTGGTTTTAAAATCTAAGAGAAAATGTCACATTTAGTTTTTTATTTAACATTTTTTTCAGATAGTGCCTTTATATTTTTTCTTGTAATTGTAAGACTTTATCATTTCAGTTTTCTCGAATTTGTGAGATTTTCCTATAAAATTAACACTTTATTATTCTTTCTATTTTCTTCTTATTAATTTTATTTAATTTCGTATTATTTCCACGTACATGAACGACTTTAATCTCGATAATTCCCCGTTCCCCTGGCTTCAGATTTTCTTGTTTTTGAGGGTTATTTTCTTGTAAAACGTGTAAATTTATTCTCTGAGAATTAGTCTTTTGTTTTGAAATCTGAGAGAATATTCAAGTTTGTTTCTTGTAGATTTTTTTTGTAGATTCGATAACATTTCTTTTTTTTCATATTCTGATATTTATTTTAAGAAGATTACCCTGTTCCCCTGGCGTCATATTTTATTTTATTTTTTTTACCAACAATGGCTTTAATACTTAATGTGATTTACATGATGTATTTATGTGTTTTAAGTACAACGTGAGGTCAGAAACTAAAGTGCTCTTCAGTACAAACTATGGCCTTCATCCCAGTGAAACAGATCAATAATCAGTAATCAGTGATCCATCAGAAGCTGTAAACTTGCATATAATCGTCTATAAATGAAGAAGGCGTCACTGTAGCGGCAGAGGAACCAGCACGTCCACGTAGCTGATGGGGAAGAGTCCTGATTCGCTGCCGAGCGTTCCCTCGTACCAGTTGGCGTCCACCTGATTGGTCAGCAGGATGACGTCGCCGGCGCTGAAGCTCAGCTCGCCATGGTAACCGGGGTGGAAAGAGTAGAGCGCCCGGCAACAGGGCTGATCCAGGACCAGCCCACTGTCCGCTGTTGATTAAACACAATTAATTAACAGAAGTATTCATGTTTATCCACTCTGAAGAAATACTGAGGACATATTTAAATTATTCTTAGGACTTTCCTGCCGTTTAAACTCTTTCATTCACACTTTTAAGAATGTTGACTTTTTTTCAGGGAATTTTATTTTTGTCAGATTTTTGACTTTTCTCAACATTTTGACTTTTCTCAGTTTTAGTTTAGAAGTTAGACTTTTTTCTCATATTTTGATTTTTTTCTCATATTTGGGTTAGTTTCATTTTTTGACTTTTTTCTCAGAATTTCACTTTTTTCTCATATTTGGACTTTTTTCTCAGAATTTCGCTTTTTTCTCATATTTGGAATTTTTTCTCAGAATTTGACTCATCCCAAAAAATTCCTTATTTCTTAAAATGCTATGTATGTTTTACTTTTTCTCAGAATTTTGACTTTCTCAGAAATCTTAAAGTTTTTCTATTAAGAATGTTGAATTTCATCAGATTTTTGACTTTTGACTTAGTTTTGACTTTTTTCAGAATGTTGTCTCAGATTTTATTCATTTATCTTAATCAAATGTTTTTGTTGATGTTTCTTAAATATTATATATAAATCTAAATGTATAAATAATGAACGTCTTGTTTGCAGAGGTCAGTGTTTTCTCACCGTAGCAGGAGACGGGACTGCTGGGTCTGGACGTGAACTCTGTGAACTCTCCTGTCACAGAAACCAGGTTCAAATCACAACAAGTCTTTAATTCAGGATTAAAGTGAAATCAAATTTAAATATGAGTAACCTGAGGGGTCGGGGGGGGCGCTGGAAGACCTCCACGCTGCCGATCTGTTCCCGTCTGATTCGGATCTTCTTCGGTCTGCAGTGTCGCTCCGGTTTGTTGCTGGCCGCCGTCAGCCTGTTGACACGTTAAATATATATTATACATGATGTGAAGAAATCAGTGGTTGTGGACCAGGTGGGCTTTGAGTGAACACATCATTTAAATTAAAGGAATCTGTGGCCCCTGAATGGAGAGTGAGGTGTATTTCCCCTCTGGAGGACAGCATAGGTGAGGCTCACCTGGCCTGCAGGTCGCCATGGAGACCGAGCAGGATGCGGTGTGCGTTGCGGTGAAACTCGAGCAGCGTGGAGACGAGAGCCGCGAGACGAGAGAGGAGATCGCCCTGCAGACAGAAACATCTGGAGATATCATGGCCCTGCAGACAGAAACATCTGGAGATATCATGGCTCTGCAGACAGAAACATCTGGAGATATCATGGCCCTGTAGACAGAAACATCTGGAGGTATCATGGCCCTGCAGACAGAAACATCTGGAGATATCATGGCCCTGCAGACAGAAACATCTGGAGATATCATGGCCCTGCAGACAGAAACATCTGGAGGTATCATGGCCCTGCAGACAGAAACATCTGGAGATATCATGGCCCTGCAGACAGAAACATCTGGAGATATCATGGCCTTGCAGACAGAAACATCTGGAGATATCATGGCCCTGCAGACAGAAACATCTGGAGATATCATGGCCTTGCAGACAGAAACATCTGGAGATATCATGGCTCTGCAGACAGAAACATCTGGAGATATCATGGCCCTGCAGACAGAAACATCTGGAGATATCATGGCCTTGCAGACAGAAACATCTGGAGATATGGCAATCTGGATATGGCTCTGCAGACAGAAACATCTGGAGATATCATGGCTCTGCAGACAGAAACATCTGGAGATATCATGGCTCTGCAGACAGAAACATCTGGAGATATCATGGCCCTGCAGACAGAAACATCTGGAGATATCATGGCCTTGCAGACAGAAACATCTGGAGATATCATGGCTCTGCAGACAGAAACATCTGGAGATATCATGGCTCTGCAGACAGAAACATCTGGAGATATCATGGCTCTGCAGACAGAAACATCTGGAGATATCATGGCCCTGCAGACAGAAACATCTGGAGATATCATCGCCCTGCAGATGAAGAGACATGAAGAAGAAGGGACACATGTTGATGTAGAAGAGACATGAAGAAGAGGGGACACATGTTGATGTAGAAGAGACATGAAGAAGAGGGGACACATGTTGATGTAGAAGAGACATGAAGAAGAGGGGACACATGTTGATGTAGAAGAGACGTGAAGAAGAGGGGACACATGTTGATGTAGAAGAGACATGAAGAAGAGGGGACACATGTTGATGTAGAAGAGACATGAAGAAGAGGGGACACATGTTGATGTAGAAGAGACATGAAGAAGAGGGGACACATGTTGATGAAGAAGAGACATGAAGAAGAAGGGACACATGTTGATGTAGAAGAGACATGAAGAAGAGGGGACACATGTTGATGTAGAAGAGACATGAAGAAGAGGGGACACATGTTGATGTAGAAGAGACATGAAGAAGAGGGGACACATGTTGATGTAGAAGAGACATGAAGAAGAGGGGACACATGTTGATGTAGAAGAGACATGAAGAAGAGGGGACACATGTTGATGAAGAAGAGACATGAAGAAGAGGGGACACATGTTGACGTAGAAGAGACATGAAGAAGAGGGGACACATGTTGATGAAGAAGAGACATGAAGAAGAGGATTGAGTGTGTGTCTCTGGGACTCACGTCGCTCTGCAGGAGGACGAACATGCTCCTCTCCACTGACTCTTTGGACGTGATGAACTTGTCCCAGGCGAGATGGACCTCCTCAGCGGAAACGTTCCCTCTCTGCCGCCGCTTGTAGTCGAAATCCAGCCGGCGGCCGTTCAGCTTCTTCAACTGGAACTGAAGAACAATCAGAATTTAAATAACCAATATCACCATGACACTTCCCCATTGTGTTCCTGACATTAAGACAATTACTTTCTACAAGCCTCATAACAAGTGATGATTATGCAAATGAGGAATGATCTCATTAAACAAGTTGCAAATTTCCATATATGTCCAGAACAGAAATGGGAACATTGGATGAAGCCAGGTTCAAATTCCTGTTCAAGCTCCATGTGTAACATCAACAGACAAACATCAACAGACAAACATCAACAGACAAACATCAACAAACAAACATCAACAGACAAACATGTAACATCACATCAGGATCAGTGAGAGCTGCTCAAAGAGCCTTCAGCGTGATCTGACCTTCTGTGATTCCCCTCCTCTCACCCGGATCTCCTTCAGCTCCGTGTCCTGCAGCTCCTCCAGCGGCTCCATGAAGCTCCGTCTGGCCTCTTCATCGAGCACGACCCGGGCCTGAGAGACCTCATGCAGAGCCCCCCCCACCCCGAGCAGAGCGCCCCCTGCAGGGGAACCAGAGGAACAATCAGAGGAACCTGCTGGAGCGCCCCCCCCCACCCCGAGCAGAGCGCCCCTGCAGGGGAACCAGAGGAGAGGAACCTGCTGGAGCGCCCCCCCCCACCCCGAGCAGAGCGCCCCCTGCAGGGGAACCAGAGGAGAGGAACCTGCTGGAGCGCCCCCCCCCCCCCACATGGAACTCAAATGTGTTCCTGTTTTCCACAGAATTTCAATATTTTCTCATATTTTGACTTTTTACTCAGAATTTCACTTTTTCATCATATTTTGACTTTTTTCTTATATTTTGACTTTTTTCTCACATTTGACTTTTTTCTCATATTTTGACTTTATTCAGAATTTCACTTTTTCTCAGAATTTCACGGAATTTCTTTTTTTTGTCATATTTTGACTTTTTTCTCAGAATTTTACTTTTTCATCATATTTGGACTTTTTTCTTATATTTGGACTTTTTTCTCACATTTTGACTTTATTCAGAATTTCACTTTTTTCTCATATTTGGACTTTTTCTCATATTTGGACTTTTTCTCAGAATTGGACTTTTTCTCAGAATTGGACTTTTTCTCAGAATTGGACTTTTTCTCAGAATTGGACTGATCCCAAAAAAGTCCTTATTTCTTAAAATGTGGACCTATTTTCAGAAATGTGCATTTTCTCTGAATTTTGACTGATTTTCTGAATTTGGACTTTTCCTCAGAATTTTTACAACAGAGCCGGCCAGCTAACCAATCAGAGCAGACTGGGCTCTGGTTTCAGACAGAGGGTGAAAATAGGTGCTGCAGCAGGTATGAGAGAAATAAAGAGCTTTTTGAACCTTAAAGCATGGAGACATGTAGAGACACTACATGGAGACATGTCCCAGTAGAGACACTACATGGAGACATGTCCCAGTAGAGACACTACATGGAGACATGTCCCAGTAGAGACACTACATGGAGACATGTCCCAGTAGAGACACTACATGGAGACATGTCCCAGTAGAGACACTACATGGAGACATGTCCCAGTAGAGACACTACATGGAGACATGTCCCAGGAGAGACACTACATGGAGACATGTCCCAGTAGAGACACTACATGGAGACATGTCCCAGTAGAGACACTACATGGAGACATGTCCCAGTAGAGACACTACATGGAGACATGTCCCAGTAGAGACACTACATGGAGACATGTCCCAGTAGAGACACTACATGGAGACATGTCCCAGTAGAGACACTACATGGAGACATGTCCCAGTAGAGACACTACATGGAGACACGTCCCAGTAGAGACACTACATGGAGACATGTCCCAGTAGAACATGTCCCAGTAGAGACACTACATGGAGACATGTCCCAGTAGAGACACTACATGGAGACATGTCCCAGTAGAGACACTACATGGAGACATGTCCCAGTAGAGACACTACATGGAGACATGTCCCAGTAGAGACACTACATGGAGACACGTCCCAGTAGAGACACTACATGGAGACATGTCCCAGTAGAACATGTCCCAGTAGAGACACTACATGGAGACATGTCCCAGTAGAGACACTACATGGAGACATGTCCCAGTAGAGACACTACATGGAGACATGTCGCAGTAGAGACACTACATGGAGACATGTCCCAGTAGAGACACTACATGGAGACACGTCCCAGTAGAGACACTACATGGAGACATGTCCCAGTAGAACATGTCCCAGTAGAGACACTACATGGAGACATGTCCCAGTAGAGACACTACATGGAGACACGTCCCAGTAGAGACACTACATGGAGACACGTCCCAGTAGAGACACTACATGGAGACATGTCCCAGTAGAGACACTACATGGAGACATGTCCCAGTAGAGACACTACATGGAGACACGTCCCAGTAGAGACACTACATGGAGACACGTCCCAGTAGAGACACTACATGGAGACATGTCCCAGTAGAGACACTACATGGAGACATGTCCCAGTAGAGACACTACATGGAGACATGTCCCAGTAGAGACACTACATGGAGACATGTCCCAGTAGAGACACTACATGGAGACATGTCCCAGTAGAGACACTACATGGAGACATGTCCCAGTAGAGACACTACATGGAGACATGTCCCAGTAGAGACACTACATGGAGACACGTCCCAGTAGAGACACTACATGGAGACATGTCCCAGTAGAACATGTCCCAGTAGAGACACTACATGGAGACATGTCCCAGTAGAGACACTACATGGAGACATGTCCCAGTAGAGACACTACATGGAGACATGTCGCAGTAGAGACACTACATGGAGACATGTCCCAGTAGAGACACTACATGGAGACACGTCCCAGTAGAGACACTACATGGAGACATGTCCCAGTAGAACATGTCCCAGTAGAGACACTACATGGAGACATGTCCCAGTAGAGACACTACATGGAGACACGTCCCAGTAGAGACACTACATGGAGACACGTCCCAGTAGAGACACTACATGGAGACATGTCCCAGTAGAGACACTACATGGAGACATGTCCCAGTAGAGACACTACATGGAGACATGTCCCAGTAGAGACACTACATGGAGACATGTCCCAGTAGAGACACTACATGGAGACATGTCCCAGTAGAGACACTACATGGAGACATGTCCCAGTAGAGACACTACATGGAGACATGTCCCAGTAGAGACACTACATGGAGACATGTCCCAGTAGAGACACTACATGGAGACACGTCCCAGTAGAGACACTACATGGAGACATGTCCCAGTAGAACATGTCCCAGTAGAGACACTACATGGAGACATGTCCCAGTAGAGACACTACATGGAGACATGTCCCAGTAGAGACACTACATGGAGACATGTCCCAGTAGAGACACGTCCCAGTAGAGACACTACATGGAGACATGTCCCAGTAGAACATGTCCCAGTAGAGACACTACATGGAGACATGTCCCAGTAGAGACACTACATGGAGACATGTCCCAGTAGAGACACTACATACTAAATGTCATATTTCCCTGAAGATCTTCGTACCGAACTCCGACTCCGCTCCGAGCTCCTGGCCGTAGTGCGTCATAGAATCTCCCAGAATGCTCTCTGTCTGCGGGTACCCCCCCGCCTTCCCCTGGCCGCGGATCCTCGACATCGTGTTGAGGACGCTCAGCTTGGCTCTGTCCGCTGCGGGGAATAAATCCATGAAGGCATTCATAAAAACTGTAAGTTTCTGAGTTTAACATCGACATCAAATGCATATCATATATATTAATATATATTACATCTGTGTTTATATTTGGTTGATCAACTGGAGCTCTGTACAAATACAAAAGTACTTATTATACACATCATTTTAATGTCTAAAAATGTATTTATTGGTTCATTGGATTAGTTTTGTGTGCTTTTAATGTGTGTTTCAATTGTTTTATCACTTGACTATACTTACTAATTATTGTTGTAATGAATGTGCACGTGTGTGAGCCTTTTGATTGGTTGACCAGCATGTGAAATGAAAGCGTGATAATAAAGCAGGTTCTGACCCGGGTTGGGCTGCAGGACCTCAGTGGTTCTGCAGAGGAGCTCCAGCAGCAGGGACTGCAGCACCGCGACACTCTGACACACACACACACACACACACACACACACACACACACACACACACACACACACACACACACACACACACACACACACACACACACACACACACACACACACACACACACACACACACACACACACACACACACACACACACACACACACACACACACACACATCTGAGTCAGGTTTATATCACATGAAGGAGTCTCTACAGGATGAGTTTGATCCAGTTTCACCTTCTCCATCTTCAGGAAGTCGTCGTCCATCTTTGTTCCTTCAGCTCCCATCAGGCGCTCGTTCAGCAGCTGCAGAGAGGAGCTAACGTTAGCTTAGCATCAATGGGCAGGGATCATTATTCACATTTAGCAGCAGTGGGAGGTTATTAGATTATAGCCACAAACATTTTTATTATTTTTAGTTATTCCTCTTCATAATTCCACATTAACTTAGTTTATTATATATATTTTGTATTGACTTATTTATGATTTAATACATTTTTGTATACGTTTGTATTTCCAGAGAGTATTTACTGTTGCTGTAATAACGCATTTTAACATGTAGCTGCTATAGAGCTAATTTTAGCATGTTTTAGCATTGTTTATAACAATTCAGAATATTCCATATATTCATTATAGGTTATTATAATATAATTGTATATAAGCATAAAAGTAATATACTCTCTCTACACCATTATAATGTGGCATATTATTAATAATATAAGATGTATTTTAATAATAACTTAATGTATTTGTATACTGTTCTAGGGTTTAATTTACTGCATTGTATTACATATACTTTTTCAAATCTTCCTCCACAATAAATGAGTTTTAGTGGAGAAAAAGTAGAAAGTATTAAAGCTCCCATGTCATGCTTTTCCGGTTATTACCCGTCCCCTTGTGTGTTATGAAGGTTTTTATGCATGTAAACGGTGTGCAGAGTCAAAACCCTCAAAGTACACCCTGTAGCGAGTAAAACTCTAACACAGAAAATACCTCCCCAAAACGCCTCGTTGGAGATACGTCACTGCCCATTTGAGTCTTCCATTTAGTTCCGGGTACCGCCTGATGTCATGCGGTACCCGGAACGAAATGGACCAATCCCGAAGAGCTATGGCCACACCAGCAGCGGCGTGTTCCTCCTCCAGAGGTTCGATGAACCGGCATTTCACAGACGAAAGCTTCCAAAAACATTGCCCAGTTTGAGGCCGGATATGCACAGCTTGTTTGGACCGTTTGGAGCAGGGGAAGATCTGGGTATACAACCTGTAAGTTTGCATTGTTATTTGTGTATTTATCAAACAAGACTGTTTAAATGTGTAAACTGTGTTGGACTGCTAAGCCATTGACACAGTGCTAACTGTGCTAACTAAGTTGCTAGAGTTTCCATATATCAACTCTAATATCAGCAGATGGCCTTGCATACATGTATCTCATAGCAGGAGAATGTCTGCATTCACACACAAAATACCTATTGACAGTATACTGCGGGTGATTTGCCGGTCAGTCGCGAAACGTAATTACATTATAGCTGGCGTAGCGATCTAACACACGGAGCTTGAGCTAGTTTTGGTCAGAAAAACATTTTTGTGATGCTACGTTGCTAGCGTTTAAATATATCAACTACAATGTCAGCAGATGGCCTTACATGTTTGTCATGGCAGGAGAATGTCTGCAGTCACACACACGGAATACTCATACAGTATACTCCGGTTTACCGTACATTGTGACCGTACATATACTGCATGTAGCTAACGAGGCTAGCTGTATGCTAGCGCAAAACAATGTATTCATGCAAGTTACATTGTATGGTAGCAGAATACCCGTATACGATTGCAATTATAAACACGTTATTGCTAGCCTAATATGAACCACTAGCTTTTGTTCATAGTAGTTTTATTACACTGCATTATAGTTGCCTTTCCTCCAAGCTAACGTTCATATCGTGTTAGCTACCAAGGTAAACAAAGCTAGGTTAGCATATTAGCAGGCAAGCTGTTCATTACACAACTACTACTAACGAATCTAAAACAACTAAGTTTCTCTAATATTTTGTGATTTGCATTTGATTTCGTCCAGCCAGATCCTGGCGGACAATCCATGACGGGGAAGGGATTCTACTACTACTGAGGCGTCGTGCTAAAAGGCACCGCACCGCACCGGCTGTGCGCAGGCAAGATGCGAGGAGGAGGAATGAATGATATACCGTGTATATATGTATATTTATGTTCATTTTGTACATTTCTAAAAATAAAGTTTAATGGAAATACTTAGTAGGCCTATCCTTTCTTCCCTGAATTCATATATAGCAAACCATGATTTGATTTCTCATCAAACAGTAGTAGTTTATAACGGGTAAAAATAACTTACTCTTTGTTATGAGCGGCTCGTAGGCCACAACGGAAAGACAAGGAGACATACACGAGTTTACAAAACCACGGCACATTTATTGTGGTAAATGCAAAGATAGGTGGTTGAGAGGATCGCAGAGTTAGTCTTCCTGCAGCCGCTTTGGAGAGAGACTGGGGCCGTAGTGTCCGGAGGTGTCCGTGATCGTGCTGATTAGCTTCTTCAGCTCCACCCCATCGTAAGACAAAGGCCCTGGGGCCGTCACACTCTTCTATAACAACAGTTAAAAATATATATGTATATAAAATATACCGCTGTACCGACGCCATGATAAGACTGATGTTACGCTGAGAGCAGCCGGGAAAAGCACTGACATGGGCGCAGCCTCTCTGGTGGTTGACTAATCAGAACGAGTGGCCGAGCTGACCAATCGGAGCACACTAGGCTCACAGGGAGGGGGGGGCAAGAGCTCCAACGAGTCGTTTAGTGGAGAAAGTGAATACTGCTGAATACACATGCTTGACAGGGATGCTGTATGCGAAACCAATGTGAGTTTGGAAAATTGCACAGTATAAATCTATTTTAGTATACCTCAACAATGTAATTATGATCAGTGGAAATGGCCATGACATGGGCCCTTTAAAGTACTCAGTAAAGTATCAGCTATAGTTGTC